AACGGCACATATACCATGATCACTTGTGTCTGTGGTCACTGCAAACGGTTTCTCGAGTTCGGACAGTCTGAGCGTCATCTGGCGTTCGTCTAGCTTGTTTTTGATTTGATTAAACGCTTGTTGGGCGGTCTCAGTTCACAAAAACTTAGTGTTGCTCAACAACCCATATGAGGATGCTTCTATTTCGTTGAATTTCTAAACGAACCGACTGTACGACAATGCCCTTCCCAGAATCTATCTCAATTTCTTTTTCGAATTAGGTGCTGCAATGTTCTTTATGGTTAGGATTTTCTCCGGCAATGGTTTTATTTCCCCATTTCCTACTTTATGCCCCAACAACGTGATACTACTTTTCGCCATCTGTGACTTGTCCTTATTAATTCGAAGTCCGAATTCTTCAATTCACTTTAAGACTGTTTCTACATGCTTGACATGATCTGTTTCTGTCTGACTGTACACAAGTACATCGTCGCCATACACTTCGACATTATCTAGATCCCTGAGCAGTAGCGACATTATTCTTCTGAAAGTAAATGGTGCACCCGCCAACCCAAATGGCATTCGTCTAAATTGATATTGTTTGTCACGTACGTTAAATGCTGTCTTGCTGCGATCGCTCTCTTTTATAGGCAGTTGCCAATAACCTGACCGTTAGTCCAGCACTGTAAACACCGTAGCATTCTGCAGCCGATCTAGTGTTTCCACTACTGTTGGCATTGCACAAGGTTTCAGTTCTGTTATATTATTCAGTTCTCTAAAATCAACACAAAATCTATAATTTCCATTCGGTTTCTTTACCAACTATTGCTTTTACTTCTCTTAGGAAATCTGCTCCTAATATCGGTCTCCATAGGTCTGCGGTCACCACGAACGGAAAATTTATCCCGGAACAATCCACTTTTACGATGCTGTTAGACACACCCAATACCTCTAACATATGCCCTCCTATGGTGTGAACTGCTAATGTACACGGCTTGAATCTCTTACATTTCTCTTTACCTATTAACGATACTGCTGCCCCTGAATCGATTAGGCACACTAAATCTCGTTCATTTTTGTTCACCGTTGTATAGATTGCCCCTCTATCTACCAGTGCAACAACCCCCAGATTCCTTGAGTAAGAAGAAAATGAGTTATAACGTCTAAAATATCTCCTTTTCCGTCTTTGTTGGACAGTTTATATTCCAGTGTCCTGTCCCTCTACAAGCATATTACCTATCATTCTCTTTACGATTCACTCGTAATGCCGCAATCTCGTGCTGCGGTTCCTCAATCTTCTTTTCGATGCAATTTATCTCCTGACATCCGCACGCGACCGTGGCATAGGTGAAACTAAAATACGTCCTACAATCAGGGAAGACCCCAATGCTCACCAGCACAGCTCTTTTATGCAATTACTTTAAAATTACCTGGTAAAGTAATAATGCATAGAGGTGCAACTGTATTTACAGACCTCGGATTACTGCTGAATAATACTATCCGATCTATCTTTCTCATCACGCTGTTGGTTCCACCACGTGCAGAGAAACCTTCGTTAGTCAAGTGAACTAATTTGTGGGTGTTATATTAGAAGCAGAATACAAGCGACATTCAGCTCATAACAATTATCATTTTGCTATTTAATACACTGTTTTGTTGTTGCTATTATTTAATACCGTCTTGCTTTACTCATAAACAAGCACTTCAGTTTTTAGTGTTGATCTCTTTCTGGTATGTCATTAGTAATTGTACGTATTGTTATATTTTGAATCATTTCTTGAACTGTCATCCATCACAGTCTACTTGGTCATATCACAATTATCCCGTCACAAATTACTAAACGTAACTAGTAATGAGCACTGTCTACTCTATTTCCCACCCTCCTCTTCTTCAGCACTCTCGTGGCATACCACCAAAGACATGTATATGGAACATCTGACTTCATCCTGTGCCTTAATTAATACTTCCGTTATTTATCTTGGAGCGTTATCGAAATGCCCAAAACTATATCTTACAATCCTTTAGTTCATGCCACCCTCCCATAGACTTCACATTAGAAAGGGAGCAAGACCAATCAATCCCTTTTCTCGATGTACGTCTAGTGAGGAGTAATGGTTCTTTAAAAAGATCCATCTTTAGAAAGCAAACATGGAATGGTCAACTGACCAACTTCTATAAGCTTCCGCGTTTGGTCGCCTCTATGTGCATCTACCAGTCCACCTGCTCTTGTGAAGCAAGGTACATCGGCCGTAACCAGCGCTCGCTTTCAACTCGGACACGAGAACATATCCCGGTTTGGTTCTAAAAGGGTGAAAAGAAAGCAGTTAGAAGTTCTATACTTGAACACCTAATCGACTGCAATCATTCTACGGATCCACAGTCTGGTTTTAAGTTTGTTTATATGATTCACTCAAATGTACTTAGATTTCTTCGTATCAAACTCCTAAAAATAGCCGAAACTCTTACCATCCATGAGCTCAAACCAGAACTATGCATACAAAGGAAATACGTCTTATCATCATCGTTACCATCACCTTAATATTATTATTATTCTATTACTATCATTATTACAACTCCATTTCCCCTTTAAGTATACCTTATATTCTCATTATTTAATTCATGAATATTCATCATATTACCTTATTTATTTTTACACCTATATGACCTTTAATTATTGTAACAAAAACATTCTATTCATTTTAATCACCTTATTATATTCACTGAATCTATTGTTACTACTCGTATTATGTAATCTAGTATTATGATCTTGGTTATTAGTGTTCACATTTCCTCACGGAATTAGTACTTTAACAAAACATTTTCATATATATATACGATTGTACAGCTTGATAACAAAAGAGATCCCTTCGCTGAACTTCGTGTTTTAATTAAATCATGTGAAAACACAGAATCTGCGCTCAGTTTAGGCGGTTCTTGTTTAACAGAGTGAACAAATTACATCAAAAAAATGCGGTACTGTCTGTGTTATAAAGTCAAGAGTTTCTCCGACACAAATTAGCGTACTAAACAACGAAGGACTAGTCAATAAAAAATACTTCAATTCCTGAGTGTCAATAAAAAATAGTCCTCACAAGATGGAATCAGATATCTATCTGGAGGAATTCCAGCAATCTTTCCAAGCAGACAGTCGAAGGTTAACAGTCGCACACTGAATCAAGTCGTGACCTTGGTCTCGTCTACCAAAACCTGATTGTCAATAATTCAACGACATGCATCAGAGAAATGAAATAACAAGAGGTGGGTCTCTAACCAAAGTCACATAATAAAATCCCAGTCGAGGAATACTGAAGAACATAAATTGCGGTTTAAAGAGACCTAAATAGAAATTGAAATACATGACTGAAATACATGAAATACAATACTGTCCGACAAAATGCTGTTGAGGAGTTTCCGGAGTTTTACTTACGTCACATTCATTATTATTTCTCCTGATGGCATTTCGTATTTAAATAATCGTATTGTTACCTCTCGTTCACTACGTGAACTTGTTCTTGAAGAGCTTCACATTGGACATTCGGTCGTCGAGAAAACGAAATTATTGACAAGGTTCATGTGTTGATAGAGACAGATATATGTCATACAGCGAATAATTGCGAAAAAGGTCACAGGCCGAAAAACCATCCATCAAGGCATACTACATGGAAAGTATCGACTGCAGCCTGACAGAGACTTTATGCAGACCATTGTGATTGATTTCCATGCAAATACCATGCCTTTTTTCATTTGCTTTTTTCGAAATGGCCTGAATTTTGTTCACAACTTCACAGAACTCTGACCTTACAATCTGGCACTTAGAAAAGTGTGTAGGATTAAAGAAATGTCACTGGGTCACAGCAAAATCATTCGGCAGTAGGGTCACTGAGTGTTCAACAGTGCACCAATCCTTGTCAAATTCAAGGACAACCAAAGCTCATCAACCAATCGCACATCATGGACTGGCCCATACAGTGGTCATGGCTGTCCCTTCCTTGTATCTACTCTTACCAGCGTATATCTGTAATATCATCCTTTGTGTTATGCGGTCTTCAAAGCAGCCACAGTACCCTGATATTACGAAAGAGTAATCGAAGTTATAGGATGACCGAGAGGTAACTTCGAAGTTGGTTGGTTCATCACACCATTCCCGTTTTACTCGAGTAGGCCCACAATCATTCGACATAGAACATCTACGTTGACGATCAACAAACGTTTATTCAGGAAGTGACCCCAAGATATTAGTGGTTGAGAAAGCCCATCATTTTGCTGAAGATGCACTTAATATCTGACTGTGTGGTAAAGAGTGTAGACATTTATTCACTACCCTAGACATTCTTGTTCTAACGGTCAAACAGAAGGCTTTGTCAGAACACTTGATGAACTGGCAAGAAGAGCAACATATTTTTCCTCTGCAGAATGAAATTGCTCAACAATCTTTAGGGAAAAAAGCTTCATGAAAATTACCAATAGGAAAACTTTTCTGACCGAATATGAGGTTTTCAGAATCTTCAGAATTTACATACTTAAAAGTATGATATTTTTTGGAACAGTATTGTATTATTTTACGGATCAAGTGCTCGAAAAACCACATAGCGAGCAGAGTTTCTCCGAGTAGCGACTTCGTCTCGAAGCACGATCTTATTAATAACTCTAACGTTGCCACAAGTTCGTTTATCTAGAATCGTCTTTCTGGCTTTCACTGCCACAAAAATTCCCTTAGATACTTCTGGAATAGTTACACTCTTAAGTATTTATTCGATAGCTGTTTTCCTACAGTATGAACAATTGACGAGCACAATAGAGAAGTTGACAATATATATACTGGCTTCTGATCATTTCCTTTGTTTGACTTACATTCAACTGTCCACCTAGTTTCTAAGACTTAGTAAACCATAGTGAGTTTCATTTTATTTTTTAATATATATTTTTTGACTTCATTTAGCGAAACAAGCAGTTGCTCGAAATGACGACAAAAGTTGCTTTCTAAATCACACTTAATCTCGAACATCCATATGTTGTAAAACAACTCGAACTTGAGAGACCATTTTATTTCACGTCAATATACTTTGGGTTGATAAAATTAACAAATGTTTACCAAACATATGATGAAATGAATGTGTTGCACCAACTATAAGACTTTGTTATGAAACCCGCTGAGTTTGGAACTTTCAAGGTTAAGGGTTTGATGTTGGTAATACTATATTATTCGTAATTTCGATGGAGAGGCAGAGGTCTTTCGAAGTCCTTCATGTCGATGTAATGTTTCTCATAGTTTTAAATATTTTATTTCAGGATGAAACTTTTGACCAAGGTATGTTCAAACAGTGATCAACATACGGAAATTCATGGTTCGTATACGCTATTATTGCCTTTTGGTGCTTGGAAGTTTGTATTTCAATCCTTCTGTTTCCATTGTAGACTCTATTGCCGGCTTTTTCTTATTTTATACTCTGTTCAAGTCAATATTTTCTGAATAGTTATTTGCTAGAAGTTAATGCAGCCCAACAGCTTAGCCTCGTTTGAAATCGTTGAAGAAGTCCATATTGTCTTTCAAAAAGCTTGGACATTTCCCAAAACTATGGTCTACTTTCAACATGGAATTTGACTCGTCAGAAAAAAGGTTACGTACTGTCGATGATTTTTCCCTATTCGTAAAAATGCTGACAATATGTGACCGGGCGATACACCGGTTCGTGGCAAATGTGTTCACAATAAATTCAAAAATCTTTTAATTGTAGTTCATCTCAAGTAAAAAGTCTATCGACCTTAAGAACCAAATATTCACAACGTTCTTGATTTTCTCCACTGATCAACAAATCAGCTCAGTTTTATAAAATCAATTTATTGACGGCACTGTTACTAGCTTTTTCATCAGATTTGTACAGCTGATATAGTGGGAAAGGTTCCTACAATCTTAAGGTCCATTTATATCTAAGTGTACAGTTTTCAATCAGAATCAGATTTCGTTATTCAGCACCTAGGTAAAAAAAGAACACTTCGATGGCTTTGAATACTGTGAAAAATTAGGAATATAATTGTGTGCAATCGCACACATTAATTCAATGTCTTATACAGTTATACAGTATCTGTGCTGCAAAAATAAATTGTTTACAGTACATGGTCAAGGTTTCTCACCAGAATTTCGAGAATTTCCTCTCGAAGCTAGTCGCTAGTGAGCACATGATAATTTCCAATATAGTTTTGCAAACATTTTTAACTTTCATTGTTCGGCTCACGATCTCAATGAAAATCAATCTCCGCAACCATGTACTGATGATTCATGAAAGTTTCAAACCTCAGGTAGAGACAGCAAACGTTTTGAATAAAGTTACTTTGAACTATGATTTGTCCAAATTCCTTGTAGTGTGTAATCAGTATCTTCCTACTGTCCTGAGTTACTAAAACTGTTGCGTGTCTTCTCTCGAAACCATTTGAAATCTTTTTTTTAAATCATAAGAAACAGAAACCTTGATCGAAGATAAATTTACACCAGTTAGCATTTCTGCGGGGTCACTTTTCAAACCCTACAATCAGTATAGGCTGTGTTTAACGTACAGTAAATGCAGGAGTGAAATTGCAATTTCTTATGTTGAATGATAATTCGCAGACAGAATAAACTTTATTTCTTATTACCAACTGTAGTCGCCATTTGGAATGTGTCAACTTTCAATTTACTACAGATCAAAAGCCGAACCTACCAACATCTTTTAATTCTTAATATTAGGCAACATATAACGTGAAACAATGAAGTAACAATATGGTCTCTCGTTCAACCTAAAAACTATGAAAATAAGTTGGCGAGAATAAGGAAAGTGATATCAAATGATAGTATCATAAACAATAGTACCAAAGTCATAAAGAAGGTTAACGGGAACGTAATCAGACTTCCAGCAGGTACTTCAAAAGGAACGATACTTGTGTATTAGTTTTTTTTCCAAGAACGGCTGATATAGATGGACTTTATTGATTTAAGATGTTACCAGATCAAGTTGTTGTCTTCATCCTCATAGTTGGTACTTGCTAGAGATGAATAATTTTCGAAACATTTTTTTCAAAATCTAAAGCTATGGCCTAGTTACCAAAGTACTCGGCTTAAAACAACTGAGTTTTAGGTTTAAATCTCGCATTAACTAATACAATTTTTGCCAGCCAGGTTTTATCTTTGTCCGACAACTAATTTCTTTCCCAAATACAGATATCCGTACTTGGTAAATAAGTTTCACTTCCTAGAACGTCAAAATACTTTTAGTTTTTCTGTAACTTGATCTGTTTCATCGCTTGTCGAATCCTTCTCCTAACTATGAGCGAAGGTTTGACATCTTGTGACAGTTCTTTGTAGATCATATCCTCAGTCAAGGTGATAGTAATTGACAGAAGCGACAACTCGTAATATTCATTTTTCCGAGTTCTCACAGTCTCATTCATTTAGATAGCGTTCAGGCAACTATTAAATATAATTCATCCTACAGATGCTTGTACTGCTTTTAACTTAATCGTATACTTTCCCGCATGAAACCACGAAAATTCGCTGATAAATCTAGATACCTACCAGGTACTGTGTCATGCTTCCCCATTGGCGAAATAAAGTCAAGTAATGACACGAGTTCTACGTGTGAATTTCAGAAAGAACAAATTTACTTAGTAGAACCTTAAATTTATTGACTAGTGCTGTCTGTTATCCTATAGTTCTAGCATTAAGGTTTCCGACAAGTAGTTTGAATTACTGTGTCATGACACCAGGTTTGGTATTACGTAGTCCCAAAGTGTTAACAACAGTCTCATATCTGAATGAAGTTAATGAGGAGTTGGTAACGTATCTATAAAAAAATCTATGATAAGATAAAGGGAATTAATGTTGAATCGGATAAGTCTAAGACTTGCTTATGGTCTGTGGAGGATGGACGCTTTATCCCTCCTTAAACAATAAAGTGGCTATGGCTTGGTGTCCATCACTAGTCACTAATTGTCCATTTAAGCACCATGCTGACAGTAGTTCTTTATACTATTAATCATTGGTTACTGTTGGAATCCCTATTGTGTAAACATGAAACTATTAATTCGCCACTTCCAAGTTATAGTCTTACTGTTAACTTGACTGTATATGTAACAAAGTATAAAAACATTCATTTCGGTTAGTAAAACCTTAAGAGGTAAATGTGATAGGAACTTTGGAATATTGTCCCGCATCAATAGCCATCTGTATAACTAGAACTCACAAATCTGAAAAGTAAATTCTCACTAAAAGTATGTACATCCTTTGTTATATTTTAGAGACTGATAGTCTTGTCGAAAGTGTCTACTTGGTTTCTGAGCAAGCTGTTCCTGATGAATCACCTTCTTACACTGAGGTTTCAGAGTCCGACAAGTCAGAGAATTCTCTATCCACATCAACGTTCGATTTCGTTAAACTGGACATCGACCAAAACCATGCGTAAGTCACATTTCCCCACTGTTTCTGGATAGTATTATGGTTAACTTGCTTGTGCTTGAGGTGTCGATTAACAACTTTTCCTTGACTTTATTTTATGTACTCACTGAACATGTAGATTTCAATTTCTGTAAGAAATCCATTAATAACATATAATATCTTACATAACTTATAATCCACTCTATTTATTTAAATGGATAAGGTTAATTTGAATTACGGATCTTGTAGTAAAAAACAAATACTTAGGCCATTTCGAAGACAGCTTATGGAAGCATGAACCATAATCACTCTTTATTAGGTGTTGAATTTGTTCATAAATCTTGGATACTTTATGCTAGTCATTAGCAAATAGGTGGCTCCCATTCAGTTTAGACCTTCTACCTGACAGAGCTACTAAAATAAGTAGTAATAAAACCGACCAAATAATAAGTGTTAAATAACCTATTTATTTTATAACAAAAAGTGATTCTCATAATACGGTACCAAAATGTTGACTATTAATTCTATCCTTACCAGATATTAAGGGACTCTTGAGAACTAATTTACTTAGGTAGTATGGAATGTTTATCAATCTGATTCATTCTCTAAAGCTTAAATGTTATACAATCACAGAAGCTTTTTGATATGTCTTGTAGGTTGAACGCCTTATTCGGATCCTAAGCTATTCCGATAACCCCAGGACTACTCAGCAACTTGAAGACCAGAGAGAAGACACGGGTATCAGAGAAAACCTTTACTGCAAGGATCATCCTTGTACAGAAAATCGTAGGTATTTATAGATGTTTGCTTAAGTTAAATCAACATCCTAATTCAGCCAATCCAATTAACGACATAAATTGCTACTGACCAATGGTAGCATGCCACGTTGGAACTCCAGAATGTTCTGTCTTACTCTGATTGGTTGGGACTCTTTTTGAGCCTCTGGAGGCTCTGTTGGAGTTCGCTGGAAGCCGACTTAACACTTTTGACCTTGGTTCTACCTTACGTGTTGGAAGTGGGTTAATATTTGCGACAGTCGTCTAAAACCTTATTTAGCTGATTGGGTTTGTGCATAGTACGCTTATGTATCAGTTTCAATATCGAACACCATGTCACAACAAACATAAGCTATTTTACACTTTTGAAGCTTAAGACGATGTATGGGACAGTTTGGAATCAGAATTAGTTCAATGATAAACCATATGTACTGGTCAGTTCACGTGCACAAACAGTCTCGTTTACCTTTCTGTACTAATGATCAATAAGATCTGAATATTACTAAAAAATAATGTGTTTGTCGTTCACTAAGAAGGTGTATAATACATCATTATATTCAATCTTGATGTGTTTGCAGAGTATGTTATGGAAAACGTTAGGTTACAAATTCTACAAAAAGAATGTAAAGTGATTATTTGGATAAAAAAAACCTCGTTTGTTTGATAACTAAATCATAATTTCCCTTCTTTTTCAAAAGTTGTTTTAAAGATAGTGTTGTTGAAAGTAACTTCGGATAGTTAGGTCAAGATGATCAGACTAAAATTTTCCGAGAAGTAGTAAAACATATAACAATTGAAGCAAATTATTCTTTGGACTGTGGACCATTAGAAATGTTTCTTAAACTACTTTTACTGGCTCATTCAAAAGCCATATCTTACATTTTTTTGTGAATGATATTAAAATGTATAGTGGCCTCAGTAATTGTATGGTTATTCTGCACTTTTATTCTCCTTAACTGAATTAAGTTCATTAATGTATTCATATCTTTACTTAAACTCGTCTGAACATTATATAAACTGTTGTATTTATAAATATCGTTGATTGAGTGTAATTAACCAAATTTGAAGTTAAAAACGATTTTTTGTAAAAAGTAAAGTACTCATAATGTTGCTCACATTTAATCAATTATTCATGTTTATGTGGCTGATGTTTACTATTTAATTAGGTAAGGTGAAATGTTGTTGTCATAAGCAAATACTATACAATCTTTAATGTCGCCTTTACTTTGAAATTAATTTTCAGTGCCATTACACAACCCTCTCCATCTTGTAACTTGGATCAGTTACACTGTCTAAGTGTACCTGATGAGAGAGAAACAACTATTGTATATGAACAACCATGTATCCAGTCTTCAACGTACTCTGAAATAAGTGCCTCTGATCGGATACATTTTTACTGTAAGTAACTGTTTGACTATTCTTGATATAACAACAATGAAATTTGTGACAGTTATTTTAACTACTTAGTTTATCTTCAGTACTTTGTGGCGACCAATATAGTTCGGAGATATTTTTCATCTTGAACTGAAAATAGTCACTGAAAACTATGAGACGCTGAACAGCTTTTTCATACTAGTTGAAAAGTTCTTCTTGATATTAATTTCTCATTTTTCAAATTAAACTTAGCTACTATCAAGTAAATTCAGTTTTGCGAACAAAATTGACTACTATTTTTTGACCATATTTCATGGACTTTAAGAACTGATCTACAAAGAAAAACATCCCGTTATTGTTATGATTTTCTTCGTATCATCAGCTGGCGTTTCACTCTTACAAATATAACCAAACACTCCAATGACCAGTTCGTATCACAAATGCTTTTATAGCATGTAATCCATTGCAAATTATTTTATTCTGTACCTCGTACTTAGTTTGACGTGTGATACCGATAAGTTTGTCGTTGGATACTAATTGTCTCACCTACCCTAACTCTAAAGAAAACAGAGAAATTACGGCCTTATGACACAAATTCGTGTACTTGATTATACACTATACTTTTCGTGTAGCTGGTATCATTTGGCTTTTAGGTTTGTCGTCACTTTCACCTGAAATTTCTTCTTGACTTTTCAACGCATATTATATATATATATATATATATATATATATATTTGCAAGTCGAAGTCGTATAATTGTGAGATTTTGATTTCACTCGATATTTTAAGATTCGGATTTATGTATTTCATTTACTAAACTTATCACACTTAACATTTTCCTACCTTTTAGTCCATGATTTTCTTTTGGGAGGCATAATTTTCAGTTTGCTTTTAGGTAAGTCACTTGCGTTGTAGAAACGAACCGGTTTTTCTTTATCCTGTGCTTTTTGCACGTACATATGTATGTACATGAAAATAATTAAAGTGGCTATGACCCTCATTTCAAATTTATTATCAGCTAAACCAATGGAATTTAACATCGATAAATAAGGTCAACCTACTGATGGCTGTTTCTTTTTTCCAAGTTGTTGGATAGTTTTACTATGCCATTATTATTAAAACAGTGTTTGGTTGTCTTTTTCTCTGAGTAGAAGTCAATTTGTTGTAACCGTCTTTAGATAAATTAACTTGCTGTTTTTTTTGTCTTTAGGAGTTATTCTATGATGTAAAAATAACTTACCAATTCAACCACTGCTACTTACATTGAGTTATGTTTTTTAACTGAAGATTTAATATTTACTAGATAAATTCCTCCACAAATAGTATATACTAGCCTAACAATCTATCAATATAAAAAAAATTATCCCACTGTAATGATAATTTTATGTGAATCAGTTTACTCATCGATGCTGACCGCAATGACAAGTAAAAAAGAATCGGAAAAGCAGATTGACTCGAATATTCCTTGATTTTTATAGTCAGTAGTACACAGATTAATAAAAGAAACAAAAATACAGTTTTTGAATAGGTGATACTCGACCATTATGTACATTTACTAAGGTAAATGTTTTCTTGACGGCAAAATTTTTTTTAAAAAAGGTAACTGATGAAACTAGACCAATCAACAATAGAATATCAAAAGACGATTCAGTTGATCTTCGTCTGTCTATCATTTAGTTAGACTTTGAATAAGTCAATAACCCTTGAAATCTAACTAATGTTGTGAAAAGCTGTTTTATTGATATCATTCATGTATACAAAGATAAATCGATGTAGAAATTTAAACTACATTCATCCAACCTTCTTATCAATGTAATACAGTTCACTATTTTTCTTTCTAACAAAAAATAAACAGCAATATTATTTTTATTCTAATGAATTCAAATCAAAATCTAAGTTGATTACCACTAGTTGTATACTGAAGTGTAATTATGTAATATACAATTGTAATTTGACTGACAATCGATTAAATTCTTCACTAACAAACAGTCTTTTGTTTCTTTTTCTTAAATATTATTTGAATAATAAACGCAACTTCTAATAAATTTCCCTTAAATTACCACATAACTGCTTTTTCTTTGTATCATATATATATTTCAGGTCACATGCTGTATTCTGAACAATGTTATAAGAGTAAGTAAACATTCTGTCTACTTTTCTTTGTGTATGACATTTTCTACCAGCTTTTTCATTTTCGCTTATTATACTTTTGAATTGTTTATAAATGATTATATATATATATATATATATATATATATATATATATATATATATATATTTCATCCGGGCACAGCAGTAGTAGTGCACCAAACGAGTAAAAAATTACCCTTTTACGTTTTATTACTATACATGAAGAAAAAAATATTACAATAGTCATCTGTCAGTTACACAAGGAAAGTTAAGCATAACCAAATGGACAAGTTAATAAGTTTACGTATTCTTTTCTTGCTGTTATATTCCAATATAAAGACTTATTAAGTTCATATAAAATAACAATTAAGTTATTCTAAATCTGAACGACTTTAAGTTTCTTTCTAACTGTTCTTCACTTTTACCACTGAGAATTACACCATTTTCTTATTGAGTTGTCAATTTATCAGTAAATTATTTGGTGGTACTTTTTCCAATAGTCGTGAAGTTAATCAGCTGTTTTTAATGAAATAAAATAAATCAAGACTGAATTTATCCCTTTAGATTAACTCGAACCAAATGAGTAGTTGGTTTAACACACTGTCCACGATCATCGGTACTAAAAACATCTGTTTCATTTACTTGGCCGTATTAACCTTAGTTTTTGGATAATTATATAGAAATATTAAAATAACGGTTATAATAATGGTAGTCTTATGTTTAGTAATACATATTACAGTGTTTCTGAAGAATTATAATAATACTGTGGTGTGGTCTACTTATATCTATATAAGTAGTATATGGTGTTGGTCAGACATAGAATGTATTTTGGCAGAAGACCAATGAGGGAAGAACTGAAATGAAGCGCAATCGGTAGGAAAATGCATGAACAATTGAATTAGAGAAGAAACAGTGGAGATTGAGACAATTGGTTGTTAATTTGCAAATTAACTGTTCATTGTATGGTTATCAGAATTTAGTGAGATAGTCTGTAATTTGTGCTTAAATACATTCGATTGTCCCCAACCAGTGTTTTGTTCACTACAATACTACTACCAATCTATTTCTTTAAATCAATAATCTTTTCTACCATCTATTCAACGCCTCAGTGATCAGTTCACATCACGATAGTAATAATATACCCTACATGTTTTGAAATACTTTCATGCAAAGTCGTCAGGCTGTTCTAACCTTTCAATGACTTATGTAACTAGTTCATTCAGTTAATATTTGTCAAAATATTCCAGTAATACAGTTATCATTGGAAGTAATAGAAAGGATAATAATTATAGCCTTCTATTTTGGTTATTGACGAGCATAGTTGACATTTATTCGCTTATTACACAAACTTGGTGATAGTTCAAAGTTAATCATAACTGTATAGATACATTAATTGTCTACTTCCAATTTTTATTTTGCTCTTCATGTATTTACTTTATTTTTCCGCTCGCACTCTTTTTATCCGTATTAACAGCTTTCTATTTTTATCGGTTTTTTCTTTATTTCGCAATCTGTCAATTTTAACCATGATTTATATGTTGTGTAGCCTAGCGATTGTATCATTTCAATTTATTTGATCTATCTTCTTTAACGTTCAAAGATATAATTTTTCCCTTCCTGATATTGTTGTTTTCTTTCAGATAGAATGGCAAGTTGTGAAATTGAACGTGACAAATTGTTAACAAGCAAGTTAATATAAATTATAGAAGGGGTTTTGTGGAGATTTACTATTTATCATTGTTGAAAGCGTGAGTCAATTGAAGCTAGACCACCATGGAAAACCTGGAAACACTGGACGGCCGTTTCGTCCTATCATGGGACTCCTCAGCAGTGCGCATCCACGAACCTGCTCTCGCGAGCGAGATGCGCACTGCTGAGGAGTCCCATAATAGGACGAAACGGCCGTCCAGTGTTTCCAGGTTTTCCATGGTGGTCTAGCTTCAATTGACTCACGCTTTCAACAAGTTAATATAAGTTTTATTTGTTAGTTAGTTGTCCAACGTTGGGCACTGCTTTGAAAATTTTAACACTAAGCATTTGATCGTATTGAAATGTAAGCTTCCTTCAGCCACTCATTCTATATTCTTGTAACATTTTCATTTAGCGTATGTATTTGTGAATTGTATGGAATCCTCTTTCTAGCATCCTGTTTATGAATGATAGCAATCATTTAGCTTAAACTAATAAGCATGATGTACTTCTAGAATGCTAAGTAGAAAACAAATGTGGGTATGCTTACATAGACTATTATCTGACTTTTTTCCGACAAGATTTCATACTTTTATTAGAGATGTTCAGATCCTACTATTTTATAACTTATCTTGAATGATTTTGAGTTACTGTTCTTCCTCCAACTGTTCTCATTATATATATATTAGTTCAAAAGTCTTTAGAAGATAAAGCAAATTAATTTACTTTAGATATATTAATAATTTAGTCCAAAATATACCTAAATGAAATAAATCGTGATTTTATTTGACCATATATTACTCAATGCAATTTATGTGTAACCTCGTGAAAAGAATCGATTACATAAACATATAATCTTATCCTATTAAGTAACTTAATCTACACAAGTTCAATACAATTATAAGTGAACTAGAATTACTAAGCAGATATGCCTTAATTTAAAGACGAGTAATTTTACATGTAACTATTGCCGACCTTTCAAAGAAATTGTCTATTATTATCACTGCCTTACTATTTCCCAACTACTCTTAAATTTTCTTTTATGCCCCATTTTCTAGATATTTCTTTTCTATCGACTGAAATTTCACAAAAAGATACAGCATATCGACACTTGGAAATTAAAAATAAACACCTTAAAAATATAACGCATCAATTGCATTCAGGTAAAAAAAATTTGTCCTCTTATCATTTATGTTGTGGGATTTCTTCATTCTTCAAGCTGTTGCTGTATGAGTCATGATAAGTGTTTTAGTAATTCACAATTTGACTAAGAATGTAGAATGTAACCATTGAATACTACTCTGGCTCCCTTAATGTTATCTGAACCATAGTATATTATCTACTTGTCAACCCTAGTAGTTCATTAATGTCTAGATAAAAAATGTACATGAACAATTAAAAAACCACGCATAGTTGTTCTGACTAACCAGATCAAAGTAATCTAAACATTGAACAACTTCCTTACTTGTTTAAGGTCAATCTTATCACTTATATACAGAGATTGATTTATTTCTGAGAGATAAGTCGTCCAAATTACTTCATTTGTCCTTAACTACATAAATGGACTGCTAATACAACTATCAAATCTATTACATTTATATTTTCCTCCATCTAGTTAGTTTATTTCATAGTTTAACTTTAAAAGTTATTCGATGATTACATTTTCAATAAAGATTACTCAAGTATACAATGCACTTTAGGTGTATAACCTGTAGGACTTCATTTACTGGTTTGTTTATGTACACGGGTACTGTATCATCTGTATAATGATCTTCAGCTCATGAAGTATGTTCGAATTAACTCTATAGAAAACGGAAGAAATACAAAAGTTTATAATAATTATATCGAAAACTTATAACCCCTTCTGGATCGATTCATCAACGCCAATTGTTCTAACATGAATCAGTCATCATATTTAAACTATGCTCATACCGAGCATACTAACTAGATCGTTATAAGTCTACACTTCTAGTAACTGGATACAGACCAACATAGTTAGTTACATTTTAGAAAACTCCTACTTACCATTTATAATTTGTTTCAGTTAGTTTTCATTTCTTCCAAAATTGCGTCGAAAGAAGAGATACAAGAAATAATATGCGAACAATAGCAAATGAAGGAGAATTTAATAGAAAGTAATCAGCCTTTACAAGGTGTATACGAGAGAAAATCACAACCAAACTTATTAATATCAGTTTTGTTCATATCTAATAATAGCATTTTGTTTGGAAGCAATTAACTGGGATTGGAATACTTAATTTCCATATTTGCTTACATTCATGTTCAAACTATCCCAGTAATATTCAAGTAGATTATGCTTCCCCAAAGATTCGAACTTGAATCACTCAGTATTTCTTCCAGGAAACTCTACAGTTTGTTTATTTGCTTATCATAACTTCATCTCCATTTCATGGTATATATGTGTTATTTTCTAAAAAGTTTTATACAAATCAAAAATGCATAGCTTTTGTTCACGATTACAGATATATCTATACTAACAGCTGAATTACGTGATAAAGCACAGGCTTACAATGAATTAAAATCAGATTACAAATATGTTAGTGATAAAATGAAAGAGTTAACCAATGGTAAATTAACTTTATTTTAATTTCCTTTGTATAATTCCATTATTTTTTTTATATCTAATTATTCTTTGCGTTGTACAACTTATTGAAAATGCTACAAAATATATATCTTAACAGAAGAGCAGTGGTTCAGTGAGTGATATAAGCAGACAACTTTCAGCCAATGTTTCATAGCTCATCAACTACCTTAACTATTTTATTCTGGCCTCATACTTATGATTGGTCATTAAGTTGTGATAAAACTGACGATTGGTTGTAGTTCAGTGCTAAGTAAGGTGTAGAATTTATCAAGCATACTTTCTCGGATATGATATTTATCTAACATATTTAATAAATAATCGCTTGCCCCTATCTTAATCATTTATAGGACTTTTGATGCAGCTGAAAATCCATTGATCTTGAGATAAAATTGTAGGTATTTTCATCGAAGACGTAAATAAATAAATCCATATTTAACATTGAATATGGTCATCAATACGACCCTGCTGGTCGACAATACCTAGACAAGTCGAATGTTTGGATGGTAGCTGAAGTTGAGCTATGGTTAAAAGTCCACATGTTTCAAATATTTCCTGGGTTGAACAACTAAATTTTCAATATCATCTAACAATGAGGCTTAATTGCTCAATACTAACGATCCCTTTTCCTCCATCAGTTACTCATCATTATCTTTATTTTTCTTACATATACTTCGGTATTTATTCAAACTAATACTTGATCGCTGATTTACCACTTGACGTGTCTTATAAAGCATACGGTTGATCTGGAAGGAATACGTACAACTTTCCCAGTAACAGTGATATACTAGCCATTTTATTCCGTAGAACTGCTTTTTATGGTGTTCAGGCTAATTCTTCTCTATTCGACTACAATATTTCATATCCCATTAACTGAATATATTAGCTGGCCAAATCTTCTAGTAGTATTATGAATTTACTCGAGAAGATTCAAAAGCCAGAAAACCAGTTGTTGGAACAGTGTATTATTATTAATTAATAAAACCCGCAAGCACACGGGGAAGCGAGCGAGTGGGAGTGTTAAAAAATCCATATATATTTATGAGTGTTAATCGATTGTGATCGCTTATGTAAATAACAAATGAGATGGTAGATAAAGAATGAGGTGCAGATATGCGTTCAACCAGACTCACACATACTTTTACATAGTGGGTTACTTGTCTAAATTACAGCAGCTAGTTAATAAAGCCTTCAAAGGGCTTATTATGGTGGCACCTATAACTTGGATCTATTTTTCTTACTGCAAATTATTTTACGTATGTTAAATTTCTCTTATTCTTTTAGACTAATTTCGACACTTTTAAATCCTGATCCTTCGTCAGAAATATCAGTGGCAGTCTAAGCATTCAATTACATGGAGCTGTTAAAATATTTTTGTTCAAAAGCAGCTTCCCTTCACGTATTATGACTTTACTGAATGTATATTTTAATATTACTGTGTTTTCTGTCAGTTTCATCTTTTTGTATACTGCTGCGAAGCGGCAGCCAAGTGGTCAATGCGTCCCACTCTCATCCACTAAATTTCAGGTTCTGATCCCGCTCTACCTACTTCACTATGATCAAATAGCATCGCTTGCCCTCATACTTAAAGTGTGGCTTAAAGTTTAGTAAACGAACCTGTAACTGGTAGATAAGTTGTAAAGTGTAACAACTTGGAGCGGTACACAATTTTAGTTAGGTTCTACATTTATCTATTCTTGCTACAAGCATTTCTAGTAGGCAGAGTGCAATATGACAAATTACATCATTAGTTCGTTTTGTATTTACAGAGAATCATCGTTCCTGTCTTTTCACTTTATTGTTAATGTTATTTACACAAATGTAAAATTATTATTCATTAGTTATCCTTTCTGCTTTTTCTTTTAACCATCAAAACAAATCATCTTTTATTTTATTTCTCATAGAATTGCGAAAATTGAAATTTGCGCTTATGGATTTGAAACGCTCTTCGTTATTTTTCCCCGGTATCAGATTGATCAAAGATATCTTGTGTAAAATTTTAAGCGTTTGCCCTGATCTAGATGGTGTGTAGACAAATAAATGAATTCAAAGTGAGCCGTGTCTTCGAAACGGAACAAAGGATAATATATTTTTCTTCTTTTCTCAATTAATGTTTTTGTCATCATATTTCTTTATCTTGTTAAGTTTTATTGAGTAATTTTGGCATGTCGTATAAAATCTCTTTTGTCTTACAGCTGCTATTGTAAACATTTATACCAAAAGAGTATTTATAATTTATCGTCATTATTACTTCATTCTGAGAATTTTCCTTAAAGTCATTACGTCACAGTTCAAATAGTATCATTTAAACTATAACACAAATAGCCCGAAATAACCTCATACAAAAATAAAGTGAAATATCGATCTATTCCATTCTTTCCCAATAAATAAATAATGTACCATTATGCTTCTCTTGTTTCCGATATATTTTAATTATTTGGTTTTGATCTAGTTTAATTTTAATGAATTAGCAGACATTACAGTCGTATCCATAAGATAAATCTTTATTATGAAGTGTCGGGACTTATTTCAGAATTCTAAAACACTTTTTTTGGATATTCGTTATTTGAAAATTTACCGAATGCCTATTCTTTAGTTTGAAATTAGTGATAGGTAGTGAATTAGTTGAACACGTTGAACACTTGATCTATCTCGGGTTTCATTGATTTCGATAGTTTGATGTCTAACGAGATCTCGCCATAGTTCCAGAAAGCTCGCTTGGTTTTTGCTAAATTTTGTCACTTGTGGAATAAACGAGGCGCCTATCCGCCAACCAAAAGACGATTATACTTAGCAGTAGTTTTCTTTGTACTACCCTATAGCTTTGAAACATGGTCTATGAGAGTAGAATACATGTGTACATTGCAATTTTGTTGGTTATAAGTGTCTTCAAAGCATTGATCGTGTATCGTGAACGACTAAGTGAAAGACCTTGAGGTTGGACATAGATTACTAGCCAAATATACCAAAAAATTTATGAGTTTATCAATATTCGTTAATTGAGGCGGTTAAGACATGTGTTACGTATGCATAAACGCAGCCTACATAGATGAGGGATGTTAGCTACTGTAGAAGTACATTGGAAGCTAGGAGAGGACAAACTAAAACATGACATGGGTACATAAAACTACTGACTGTTAGTCTGAGCCACGTTGGTAGATCCAAACTACCTGGTTGGAGTGCGCGCGATAAGTAGTTGGAAACGTCGGGTGACATTTCGAATCCGGTCACAATGACGCACATGCACTCTTTATCTTATTCTAGATCTCCCGTCTCAGTATTCCTTTACATACAATACCTTAGCATTTTTTTAGAACCTTATTCTGATTATTCTGTAGTTACCTCTAGTCCGTAATTACTTGTGTTTGATATATCTTGAAATCTTCAACCATTGAGCTACAAGTTTTAAAACTGTGCTCCACATATGCGACGTTTCGTGCAGCATGATATTGATATTGTCTCTCAATAAATGTGAATCATTCTGATTTACAAACTTAAGTTTTCTTAATATTTGTAGTTTCAACCGACCTTTTTCATATTGAATCTTAATGGTTATTAAGTGAGGAATATTGACTTTCACACATGAAATGCTTTGTAAATGATATTCATGCAACATTGCAGGTACATCCAGCTGACGAGTCCCAAATAGGACGAAACGCGCGTTCTGGATTCCACTGCTAGCCACTATCCATCTTTGCTTATCATTATTGTCCTACACAGTTGCTATAATAGCCGCTTACGTTATTCAGAACGATTACGAAGGGTGATAGAGACAATTATATCAACCACTGAATTAGGGAATAAACCCAAAGTTAGTAAAAACTGAATGGTTCTCCCTAGTTCACCTGGGGAGTAAATATAATGCATATTTGGATATCAGTACCTTCCATAATACATAAATCGATTAGAAACCTTTCGTTCGAAGTAATTAGTGTCTTAAAACATCATATTCGATCATGGCCAGGAAAGGGAGAAACGTATAGTTCCTGAACCAAATAAAAATTCTTGTTTATATTCTCTTATTGATATAGCCGAACGTTTGGTTACACCGTGACTAGTTGGGAGTTTTAAAGAATACTTCCTGAGAATCAGTGAAGTCCCTATTTTTAATATGTTCTTTTTATCTTGAGTGAATATGAAACATATAAACAAATTTATTAGCACTCATCTAATGCTATGTACAACCCTCAAATCGATCACATCTGGAGTGTATTACTACATGACACGAGGTATTACAGTAAACGAATACCTGTTCAGGCGTCTTTCCTACGGGACCAGTTCTATTCAGATGAACATAGATTCCCTAGCGAATTATTTTGTCGGTGAATTTAGAGTCAGTTTATATCAACAGAAGTTTGGCTCAGAAATATCGCTCGCTAAAGATAAAATCCTGATTCCTTAGGTAAGACAAAAGAACAATAGAATGATATATGTTCTCATTCGACTAGTACGAAGAATGCTTGTAAATTCTCGTTAAATATAATTTAATAAGGTTCTTGCCTTAAAATGGTTTCACTACCTGAACTATGAATGCCTCAGGGTTGGGAAATGATATTACTAATGAATGTTACCTACTGATATCAGCAAACCTAAGCTATTTCTCATCACTGTGAATTCAAATGGTATATGTTTTTCCCTGATATTATATATATGTCGGCTGTGCATTAATAAAATGTTTGCAATAATAGCAAGTAGAGGAAACTCAGAAACGTTTAAATTATTAAAAAAATTAGTTTCGACAATGAGCAACCATCCAGGGACAATCAAGCCAAATTTTCTGTTATATTAGAATAAACATGGTGGGAGAAAATAAAGATTGGAATGAAGAGACAATTCAAGTTTATAATGTAGATATTGTATATTTACAGTAAACAAATTGAGTGCATATACTAAGCAAATATATGAAAAATTGTTTTATTGACTTCTTTTTATGAATATTTCTCTCCAAATTCCTAAACAAAACTAGCTTGTACAGTCGGAAATGAAATAGCATATTGTGACATTTGATTAGTTTTAGTACAATGAATATCGTTATTATTATCAGTAGTAGTAATACTGTTATTGTGACAACCAGTAGTTATTGTGTCGTTTTTATCCGAAGACGGATGCACTGTTATCATTCTTAATTGTTTACTTGATTGGTCCTCCCCATTATTGAAATTTGAATTAAAGGGCATAGGTTTATTCTGGAGTTTCGTACTAATTAAATCCTTATCAGTGGTATGCCTGGTGGACTTGGATCGTTTTAATTGTGTGCCGTAATATTCAGGTATAAGGTTTATACCATCTAATGTAGAACCAATTTTATTGTAGAAATTTGTTTCAGTCCATATTCGGTTGCTTTCTTTATTATGCTGCTTTTTGATCAAATCATGCATACTTTGATTCAAATATGGATCGGATTTCCATACACTTAAATGCGATGTAAGTTGTGGATAACAAACACTACTATTATTTCCAATGTATTGATCATTGTCTGGGATAGGCGTTCTATGAAGTGAGTGAACTTGAGGTCTAACATAATCATCTGATTTACCACTTTCTGTGAAAGAAGCAGCCTGTTGTTGTATAGGTAGAGAGAAGAAAAATAGGTAAAATAATCAATTCAGTATGAAAACTTAAATAAAAATTATGTTATGTTAGAGTTTGAGTTTTTAAGTTGTTGATGTTTAAGTACTGTAATTGGTAGGTCTCTTTTTGGTCTATATACATCTTAAGCGGATCGTATTGATCCTGCCACCTAGTCACAATTACTTAGTAAAGTTCGACGGAAGCTGCAAGTAGGATCCAGGACGCGCATTTCGTCGTATTTCGGATTTGTCTGCTCGATATACTTGCGTCTTATTTTTGATGTTCACACTAAAACCGACCTAATATCTATCACTTCAAACGCCAATGCATTATCTCCTGAACTATTGAGTTCAAATAGCCATAAATGTGTACGATGTGAATAGTATGCTATTTTAAATGTAAGGGTTTGAATATTCCCACTGTTAATGATGTTAAGGACAGCAATTGTTCATGCTTTACGGTGTAAACATCAACACTCGAATGCAGGTATATCTAGTTGACCAGTCACAAATAGGATGAAAAGTGCATCCCCGATTTTTTTTGCCGAAAAGTGAAAAATGTAATGCTGCAGACACACTGGACCAATTAAGCTCAATTTCAATTAGTAAAACCTGTTCGATAACAATGATAAGTATTTAACTAATTCATGCAGAGGTGGATAAGATTTCTTTTTATACAATGAAATGACCATATCCTGTTTCGGTTAGGGCGCCTAGGCAATATTCCAACCCTCGCACGTATCGAATGATTTATATGGAGCATATGTATTTGGTGCCAATGTTTATGTGTTTAAATAAATAGATGACCATATATTTTAGGCTAAAAATTCCCAATAACTGAATAATATGCAGAAGGTCCTAAATACCACATGAATCCGGTTCAAGAAAGCAGTGAATGACCAGCTCTCGTGTTGTCGTAATTAGTAGTTTTCTTCAGCAATGTGTATATACATACATATCATGTTCAAAAACTTTTATATATATAGAAATGTTATTTGTTGTTCAAATCGATGGTATAACATTCAATGGTCAATGATGTCTATTTTTATAGTAGGTTGTGGTCATTTATCGTCACAGGTCATTATTTCGTAATAAGATAGAACTAAATGTCCTATCGTGAACATACAATGAACCCATTCGAACAATAATTCAAATTATTAGCTTGTAATAAAAGCAGTAACAATAATCAATTTTAATAAAGTGAAAATTCCCATTTTGACATTTGTTAATTAAGAAAGGAACGAATCGAGCATACATAAAAGTGACTTGCCCCTTCGACCCGTTTTAGATATGAATAACTCAGCCTACCACACTATAGCAAAATGGTTGGTGCAAATTCTCAAACCGCTCCACAAGGAAATTGTTAAACATAGTGTCAAGGATTCCTTTGAATTTGTCAATAATATAAAAAATCTATCGCTCAAGAATAAATTTATGATATCATTAGATGTAACGTCCCTATTCACCAACATTCCTCTACTTGAAACGGTAGATTTTATTTGCAATAAATTAACAGAGAGGAACTTAGAAACGGTAATTCCCGTATCCGCAATAAAACAACTAAATCTTAGATGCACAATGAATGTTCAATTCCGATTTGACAATGAGTATTATAGACAATTGGATGGGGTCACCATTGGGCCTTATACTGGCAGACATTTTTCTGACAAAACTAGAAAATGGTCCACTCAAAGACACAATTAGCCATCTAACATCATATTGTCGCTATATAGATGATACCTTCATAGTATTAGAAAAAGAACATGAAAAGGAGAACATCCTTAATATATTTAATAATATCCACCCATCAATTATGTCTACACTAGAAGAAGAACAGAATGGTAGTATATCGTTTTTAGATGTCCAACTAACCAGAAGAATAGACGGAACATTAAAAAGAGGAATACATAGAAAATCTACAGTTGGACAGTACACTCATTTCTATAGCGCAGTACCAATGAAATACAAAAGAAACCTAATACAGATCCTAATTCATCGTGCTAGAATGATTTGCTCTGATGACATTATTTTAGATGAATTGGCTAATATTCGAAACTTGCTTAGTAAGAATGGGTATCCAATGAAATTCATCGACAAACACATGACGGAGACGAAAAGAAGGACAAAGGTAACTACTGTTCCGAAGAAGGTACTATTCCTAAAGTTCCAATTCTTAAATGATGCTACTGAAGAAATCTTGACACAGAGGTTAAGAAGGGCAGTACAGAAAACATTCAATGCAGCCCGACTAAGTACTGTCTTCTACAACCGCCCCACAATAAGAACTGTTAATAAAGACAGATTGTCTGAATTCGCCACATCTATGTGTATTTACCAATTCAACTGCTCCTGTGGAGCCAGTTATATAGGGCGTACAATTCGGCAAGTTCGTCAACGAATAACAGAACACCATCCGTCATGGTTGACTAAAGGACAGGTAAAGGGGATTAAGAGTTCTATTCTCACTCACTTGGTGGACACAGGTCATCAGGTTGAACTGAATAAAGCTTTTAAGGTTATCTACCATATTCCATCTAATTTGCCACATGGTTTACGAGCTTATCTATTGCACATAGCTGAAGCCATCGCAATTCATATCCACAAACCGAACCTTTGTATCCAAAAGAAGTTTGTACAACCACTCTCGCTACCTTGGTCATCGGTATAGCGGAGTTTGTAGCATAATTTCGGTAAGCAATTATCTTATTCCTTCCATTTTTTGTATTTTACTTATTCTCTTCATTCGTCTCTTGATTCTTACATAACTACTATATTACTGACCATTCATCAAAATATTTTGTTAGTTCTTTCTTCTCATTTTTATATATTATGCAACGTAGCAACAGCTTGATTTTCGAATAACTACTTTGATTAGTATTAATCCTTCTCTTCCAATTAATGCTAGTTTATAATCGATGTCATTATATAATCATTACGTAACGTATCTACTCCATGAGTGTTATTTAATTATTGTAAATCATATATATATTAGTGTAGAGCCATGATGAAAAATAATCAATTTGTTATGGATTACACCCACTGGGTTAACGAACGGTTCAAAATAGACTGTTACATATTATCTAAACCAATATAATCCCTAAAAATACCAACGCCTATAGACGATTTTTGGTAGTAATAACACTAATAATGAATAAAAGTATGATAATTCGAAAAATCACAACAACTTAGGTTGCAAATCCTGTAGGCCTATTATTTCATTGGGTTATTCTATATCGATATAAGTCTCCTACCTATCTATCTATCTATCTATCGTACTGTCCTATTTTAAATATTCTAAGAAATAAATTGAACTAGAAATACCTGATATGAATTGATGGTATCTTTAATTGGTCGAAATTCAAATTCAGAAGCATCCCATGCATTTCTCGCGGCCAAATGTGCATTTGATGTCTCATTACATTCATTAATGTAACATAAACGTCCATTAGGAACATATTGTTGCTGTTCACCAACATTGTAGGTATGTAACAATCCATTACCTAATTTTATCAATAAAAATTACCAATAGGAAAACAAGCTAGAAAATATTTTTACTTGTTATCAGAATGAGAGTTTGTGGAAATTGTAGTAATTTAATAGTTGATTTCATGAGTCGATTTAAACTAGAACACAATTGAAAACCTGGAAGTACTGGACGACCGTTTCGTCTTTATATGGGACTCCTCAACAGTGCAATGATATTATTATCATTAAGTTTCCATTTATCAATAATATATATACTATTTTCTAATTCATCTACACTACAAATGAATAATTTTGCAAGTATTATGTAGATTTCGGATTGGTTTATGTGGATCGCTAACACGGAGTAAGATATCCCACTCAACAAGTTCTAATATATCATACATCATCAACGCATATGCTTTTGAGCACTGTAATTAAAACAGTAGTTCGTTCAAACTGTGTTTATTAATACAATGATTTAGATCATATTTGTTATTTTATGTCTTACTACTACTTACTAGTAGTAAGTAGTATGAGTTAAATGTAGGGTATTATTATGTCTTAAAAATTGCACTTTTCATATACGTTGAATGTACTCTTTTAGATTGCAATTCTCCTTGCTATTAATTCATTTGTTTGTGTAAGACAACTCACGAACTGTTATATAGAATGGTAAACTAATTTTTAATAAAGTAGGCGATTCAGTGAAAATTGTCTGTCTTACGATCTCACGTACTTAAATTGTACAAACGTATTTATACTTAATTTGCTAAAAGTAGTAGTTCATAGTAAAACAGAGTGACGTTGAGTAAAATACGCATCTCTGAACATTACCGTGCCTGGTTGTCTGAACTATTACAAAATTCAGTTAAACATTTAATCAATTCTGGTCACTGCTTCATCAGAATCTTCCTTCAATATCATCTGTACATTTGAGAGAATCAGCTCAAAATAAATGCAAATGAAAAATTTACACACAGTAGTATGTTCAATTCCTTTAGCATGATCTTAACCTTCCTTTCTATCTTCTAATATCTGTCTTTTTCCACTCGTTTCTAATTATTTTTCACAACTACTAATGAGCCAATATACAACTTTCAATTATTCTGATCCTAATATTTATCAACTAGACAATTATCTTCACTTTAAGATTTTTCATGAGCCAATTATTAAGTAACTTTCTTTCAACACAAATTGGATTGCACAACTTAGGCAAACGAAATCATTGAGAAGAAAATCTTTTACGCTGAATTGTCTTTATTCTTCTTTAATAACACAACAAGTATCCTTTTCTAATTGTTATTTGCTCCAAAACACTATAAGCGACTGGAAAATTAATATTATTTTCAAAGGGCCAAGGAGCAATCTTATAAGACAATATCTCTATGAACTCGATGATAAAAAGAAAATGTTATTACTAGAAGCAATTAGTAATATTCAATCTTAAGTTCAATAAACTGGACTATGTTCATTCAAATATATTTACGACTGTTTTGACAAAATAATTTTTTTACCTGGTTTGTAGCCACGATAGAAATTCTTTTTACTTTGATTAGGAAATTCTACTCCAAATGAATTCGGAACAAAGTGATAATAACTACCATGCTAAATGGTTTGAGAAAAGAGAGTATAGGAAAATTGATTTCATTTTTTATTGTAGACAGGTTATTGGTAAAATGTATGTAGTTTAGTAAGAGTAAAAGTATACAGCCGTTAAGTACATACAGTAGTCTATTAGTTAAGTAATTGATGAGGTAGTGAATCTCTATCGACCTTAGGTGGTTGGGAGATGTATTATGTATGCCTAATCACCGCCTTGCTCGACAAGTGATGTTTGCTGGTGCCAATTAGAAGAAAGGAGCGACTAAAGCTAAACACAATACTTGTCTATGAAGTCATTGACTTTCGGACTAAGTCACGTTGATAGACACAGCAACCTGATTGGGATATGCGCGATCATCATAACCGATAGTTGGAGACGTTAAATAACATGGCTCAGAATGGAGTAGATGAATTCACATTTCGTCTTCTCTTAGATCCAGAGTTTAATAAATATTCCTTTTTCTTCGACAAATCTATTCTTTCTTGTAGAATCATATTGTCTATGTCTAAACTTTTCTACTATCACTAATACTTGTAGTACTTTTATGACTCCGTGATTGGTTTTGAAAATTTCATTTTGCTGTGCTAATGTGGTGTAGAAAATTGAACCGATGTATATATGTGCTACGTTCTACTTTCAGTATTGTTGACTGACTACTGAAGAATAGGTTGATTTTGAATTACTTTTGGATCCCTCTTAAACCAAGAACTACCATATACCTGTCTTTATTTAGTTCTCAGTTTCTTTAGAAATTCACTTCCATAACAACATTCAGAAGGGAACCCATAGTTTTTAAGCACAAGCACAGTACATTCATGCTATCTTCCCCGAGAACTCTTGAAAAAACTAGTAATAAGAATCATTGTCATAAGTGACTATAGGTAGAACTGGATCAGAAATCAGGTAATCCTAAAACGTGTCCTTTATTTCACCCAAATAAACAAAACACAAGCATATATACTCTTTAAGATGATAAAGTTTAAGTGAAAGGTCATATACAAGTGCTTTTGGACCCTACTAGATGCGTTTTAAAGATAAGTTGTGTTTGTAAGACATTTTATCTTAATGAAAAGGGAAATTATTAACTTCAACCACGTGAAAGAAAATGCATTTCAGATGTTAGCGGAAATTAGTCTTATATATATATATATATATATATATATATATATATATATATATATCACGTTTTGTACTTAATTAATAATAAACTAACCATTGTATCATTAGTTTCATTGACAATATTAGGTATATTTACAGTCAATGGATTTATTGGCCAACATCTATGATTGCTATTGGTAACATATGAAGTGTGCTTACGACTAAAATCATTAAAATCATAATTTGAGTGAGATGGCGAAAGAGAATTGCTAAAACTACTAGTATTATCAGCGATGAGAGCATTTGATACATCAGAATCCACAAAGAAATCTTGATTCTCACGATGTCGACAATTTCGACTGTTAGTGATCAAATGGTGTTCTCGTCGTTGTTGTTGATTATTATTATTATGCGAAATCGGTAAATGTACAACAGAATGGCTACAACATATTGGACTAACTGGTGTTAAAGAGCCCAAATTGAAATTTGTTTGTTTATATTTTAATAAATCTGTACATATTCCATAATCAATATGATTCAAATATTTCAACGTTGTTGTTGTTGCTGTATTTGTCGTCATCATTGTTTTTATTGGTGTATTATTATTACAATGAGCAGTTATGTTAGTAGTAGTGGTTGTTGTTGTTGTTGTTGTTGTTGTTGTAACCGTCGTATGATCAAGTAAATTTTTCAGATATGGCTTTTCATCAATATTCGATGACAATGTTGATTGATTACGTCTAGACAACAGACATGTACTGCAACATGAACACTTATTATTATCATATATATCTGGGATAAAATGCAGAAAATTATATTTATGACGTAAATAAATACATAATCCAATCATGATCAGAATAAAAAATAAAATAACTATAATGATAATGAAGAGAAGAACATTTGAATCAAGATTTTTAAATAAGGGTAATGTCAATAAATCATTGCTAGTAGTGTATAATTCATGTTGACTTCTATCATATAAGTCAAGATTATTTCTAAGAGTATGATGATTATTACTGTGCATTTGATTAGATGATGATGACGATGATAGAAAATCATTAAACTGATAATTCCTATTATTTTTTATATTTGATGCCCATTGTGGTTCAGACTGATCAATTAATAAACGTAATAACAACTGTGTTTCCAATGATGGTTGACCTTCATCTCGTACTATTATATGCACATGATATTCACCTAGATCATCTTTTGTTAATGTACGACGTGTTTTCAACATACCATTATCTCGATCAATTGTAAATAAATCACTGCTTTTTAAATCTTGTACCATTTCAAAATGAAATTTCCCATTGAACTGATCAGCATCACGATCATTTGCGTTAATACTGATAATTTCATGACCAGCGTAAACACGATATGATAAACGATGTACGGTAGAATTGGATGTCATTGGATTAGGAAATATAATCTCTGGTCTATTATCATTTACATCAATCACATTGACAATAACAGACAATGAAGCTGTATGACCTGGATAACGATGATTATTTATAATATAAGCACTTGGATAATTATTTTTTATATCATGATAAGTACGAACAGGTTCGTTGTCTGTCGCAACAATAATAAATTGGAAAGCTTCCTCTGTTTCACGATCTAATGGGCGTGTTGTATTCAAAAAGTATCGTCCATTGCCAATTTCATGTAATGTAAAAGGTAGATCTCTTCTTCCATGTCCTGGATCAATACGCACTTGTAATCCTTTATGCTGGTGTTGTTGTTGTTGTTGTTTCGGAATTTGAGAGAAACTTGATGACGATTTTCCAAAATAATCACCAGTTTGTTTTTCAAGTAACCCAGGGTAATAAATATCATCAAGTTGTACAAATGAAAATATATCAGGATCAATCACTGCGATTTCACCTATTTTAGTACCAGTTGGTTGATTTTCCTCAATGTTAAATGTAGGTCCTGTGCTGATTATTCTTGGAGGATTATCATTTTCATCTAGGATAATTACTTGAATTAAAGCGAATGAATGTAATTGATGTGAAATACCATGATCTGTAGCTTTAATCAAAATGAATACTTCATTTGTTATTATTCCATTTTCTTCACGATCAATTAATTGACGAGTTGTTAAATCACCATGAGTTGCATTTATTTGAAATAAATCAAATGCTTCTTGTTTACTATGTATTTCAATTACATCATCATTCATATGATTATTATCATTATAAGTTTGTTGATTTAGTAGAATATGTTGAAATTGTGGTAAGTAGCTTAGTTTTGAAAATAAATTATTAAATGAATATGACTCAATCATTTCAAATGTAACACGACCATTTTCACCGGAATCATTATCAGTAGCATTTAAATGAGCAATTAAAGTAGATGATGGTTTATTTTCAGGTATATATACAGTATATACAGAAATATTAGCTAAGAATGCTAAAAATATAGGTGAATTATATACTTTGTGCTTGTCTTGTTCAGTTTCTAATAAATAAGTTAACCTTTTCATTGACCATGGTTGTACTGGTATATAATCTTTCGGTTGTCGTTGCTGAAATTTATCTGTTTTGTAAATGTTGGCCGCTGTCAAACTTAATGTAGAAACATGAATTTCTGGAATGCAATCATTTTGATCATCAATTTTTACCTATGATAAGACCAAGTGGGAATAATAGTAATAAATTAAACAGGAATTATTTATACACATTCTGTTATGAATTCAAAGATAAATTATCAGTGTGGAGTAGTGGAAATTTTCGAGTTTTATTGAAATTATGAACCCATCAATATCAGACCCATACTAGGCCGAAATGGACGTCCAGTGCTTCTAGGTTATTAATGATGATCTAACAATGATAAGTTCATGGTTTCAATGAAACTCAACAATCTCCACAATCCTATATTGACAATTATCATATGGTCACTATCGACTAACTTCATGAGGAAATTCGCGGAGTTCTAGTGAGAAGACACGACCAGTGGGTAGTTACCCACTGAAGTGTTTTAGAGGTTGAACTGCATAAAATACATTTGGTCAGTCAGTTATTTATAAACGAAAACCAATCAAGTTAATACATATCGGAAATTTCCTTTGTACATAACAACCAAATGGACTCAACAGAAATGGAAGCTTTAGGGGTTTGTGGAGATTTTTGAACTTTCACAGTTGACATTATGGACCGATCTTAGTTAGACAACGATTGAAAACAAGCAAGTGCCGGAAACTTGCTTTCTTTTAGTATGAAGGTCTTCTGTACTGAATATCCGCGAACCAAGAAGGACAAATTGAAGACCTTCAGGTTTCAGGTTGGGTACTTATCCTTTAAACTACTGATGTTCAATGATGTTTAGATCTAACTTCAATCAATTCGCGATATTGTTGAACAACTTTACATCGCCCTTAATAGATAACTGATCCAAAACCGATAGAGCTGAGTTCCGCAGGTCACGCCCCATTGGAATTAAGTCTCAATGATCGCACATTATCGTGACTCGAGCCTAGACATTAGAGCCAAATGTGATGGTCTTAAAGTCAATCGCTTACTATGAAACCTAAAGGTCTTGTACTTAGCCATCGGTTAGGTAATAGATATGCACTGCTGAGGAGTCAGTTACTGAACGATAAATGTTCAGTGTTTCTTATTTCTCAATGATTATCTAAATATTGTCACTTTTTGATGACTACCATGAGAAATAAAAGCTTTGCATCCTTACCGTATTCTCAAGAAAAACTTAAACAAGAAAAGCCGAATCAGAAATATTTTCTATGTGAAACAAAGTAATTTATTTCTAAATAAAAATTACTTACCACAACTGTTGCAGTCGATGTTTTTGGTGGTATATCTGAATCCGTACAACTAATTACAATTCTATTCTCATCACCTATTTCACGATCTAATGATTTAATTGTTTGCAAAACATATCTTACTTCATTTGCTTTATTTAATTTATAATTATCTGATTCAAATAAACTGTAGAATTCATCATGTGTCTCTAATTTACATGAGATTAATGCAGTCTTAGACAATGAAGCACTATTGACTCTATTCGATAATGATGATATAGAAGAAGAGGAAGAATGTAAATGATAATTGTTGTTATCATTATAATCAGGATCTGTGACTATGATGAAAGCGATAAAATATAAATTCATGGAATTTTCTGTAACATGTTTATAATGTTCATTTTTCTCGTTAGAATAATCAATTTGAATAAATGGAGGTTCATCATATTCATTGTCAACCTAAAAATTACATAGATGTAAATATACAGTAATTGTGTTTTAAAAAATTATTCATAGCAATATGAGAATTAAAAATTACTTGTCTATGTAAATAGATGTCAATTTGGAAAAAAACAAATGAGTATAAATGAGGTAACTTCCAAATCCGACCACACCTATCTACCTCATGACTTCACTTGAAACAAGTACACACACCGGTGAAAAATTAGATAGAAAAATGAAAAATAAAAAAGAACTTTGAAATTTTATTCCACAGAAAATTTATTCTTTAAGAAAAAAGATTATGAAATGTTAATTTCCAGCTTTAGTTGGAAATTGCTTATAGACTATAGTAAAATATATCTCAGTTAATATACCAGGTAAATCTGATGAGATGTGTTTTTTATTCTTTTTTTGTAAATAATGTTACTAATTTTATTTAAGTGGGATAATTGTCAAACTATCCTCAGTATATATAAGTACATACTTTACAAAAGTGTGTCTAATTTCTGATATGACACTAAAGAAATCTATCTAAACTGAGGATTTCTTGATAGTAGTTCCCCAATAAAAACATTATTTGCATGAAATAGATTTTTCATCCAACTAAGATAGTTTTCACACCGTAAGACTCTGATCTTAACATTTTCATTATTATCAGTAAAGCGTTGTGGAGATTGTTGAGTGTAAATTGATGTCTAGAGGTTAAGCGTTCGTGCACGAGACCTAAGTTCTTGGGTTCGTGTCCCCCTTGCGGGATCGTGGAGTCTCATAATAGGACTAAACGGCAGTCCAGTGCTTCAAGGTTTTCAATGTTGGTCTAACATTGATCCATTCATGATGTCAATTTTTATCATTACAAGAAAAATCAATTTCTCATCAAAGTATATTATTTTGAGATAGTTGAGAAGGTTTGTAGCTTAGGTAGATGATTTTGAAGGAGTTTCGTTCTCTGAGCTAAATGGTTTAGTCATGGAGCTTATATTAATCTTCTGAAAAACATTATCATCACAAACTTAATGTAGGAATGAATTAACTGAGATTCCTCTACATATAACTAACAGTTAATCCTGTCGACCTCAATCTTAATTGTTTATTGTTGACTTTGCACCTGACAATCGGCAAAAAATTACATCGGACAAAGTGGACGCCCCCTCCATCTTCGCCTGCACGAACATCAATTAGCAGTGAAACGCCATGATAAATCTTTGCTTATATCAATGCATATAGACAACTGTGGATATACATTCAACTGGGAAAATGTTGAAATCTTGGATAGAGAGAATACTATGAATATCAGAGAATTTTTATGAGCTTAGCACTCAGGTTAATCAGCAATCAACAAACGCATAGAAATGCGGCCATGAAACATGAAGTTTTAATATGCGACAAGAACAACAACACTCACCACTTACTATTGTCACAGAACAGAGCAGGAGTTTCCATGTGTGTATATTTAGAAAGATGTTATGTACTGTTTAACTTGTCTTAGCATTTAAACTTTCTTTGAAAGGAATTATAAGTCAAAAAGTTTATTCGCGGGAGTATATGATTTGAACAGGTTTTATCTATGTAAATATTACAAGACTACGTTGTTGGAAATTGCTTGGATTAATAAAATGTAAGCTCAATAATAGCCTCCAATTTTAACTTTCAAAACTAATCGAAAGTGCTACGTGTTTCCAAAAGCATTGATTGTACCTCCCTAGTTGAAATAACAGTAAAAACGCATCACAGTGATTAGTGAATTTTAATTAAGCTGATCGATCAAACCAAATTTTGTTGTTTGTTTGTTTGTTACCTCATAGCTTTCATCAGACATACCCCATAATATTTATGTTCTTTTCTAAGGAAGTAACTAATGATTTTCTGTAATTCTCATTGGCGTATAAACTTATCAAGTTCCTAAAAAATGAGTCGAAACAAATCTAAAACTCGGATTCAATAACACCACTATGTCTACGTTAGTCATAAAAGAATAAAATAAAATAGTCAGTCAAATGAACTGGCAAGAACATGTACCAGTAAAACTTTCCACAAATCATAACCATATTGAGAGAGAGAGAGAAAAAAAAAAGAGGTCAACAAGATGACAAGTAGAGAAATCGAAAAGACATCAGTTGTGATGATAAATTAAGTGTGAGAAATATATAATGTACGTGAAACAAATGCCATCATGACCAATTTCAATTTATGTTACATCCAAGGTCTCTTACTATATATATATTATGATTGCCAGACAGTTTCCGGGTAGAAAGTCTGAATCTATAGATATGATTTAGACCAGCAATTTTAGTGTAGTTATTCACATCCTAATTGCCAAAAAATAAATAGGCTGAGCTTCCCTTGTCATGACCTAACGGAATTATAACTAGAGTGTCAAAGTATTCAATACATAACAATTTCAAACCTATTGCATCTAAATATCACTACTTTGAATATAACTGATACAACGAATTTGGTAATGACTTTTCAAAATCGCATACTTCCTTAAGTTTTTTTGTCTGACTAAATTTGTTCTCAGAAATGAAGAATAACTAAGAATATTAATGTTCTACAGCATATCCAAAATAGTAAGTTTTAAAAACAATAGTAACATTGTTTATAGGGTTAAAATGACAATAGTTGGATAGGTGCTAGCAGGGAAACCCAGGGCCGACCTCTCGTTCTGGTCAATCTAGAGGTGCCTGTATCTTAGTGCTGATGATCAATTGTAATCCATAACACAAACAACAAGGAAATACAAACATTCAAATATAAAAGACATATTTTGTTGCACAAACTTGTGGCTATCCTGACTCCACAGCTCAGTGAATAATGTTCTGAAGTTTAAAGCGAAATGTATTGAATTTAAGTCTCATGGTGACTATTGAGTATGAGATGCAAGTAAATCCAGTTGATGAATCCCAAGTATAATAAAGCCCGTGAGTCCCAAATTTCATTGCTAACAACTAGCCAACTTTATTAAAAACTTGTGACTAAATGGCAATATGGAGACAATCTACTCAGGATAGATATATTTGCATATATATATAAATGAGTTTTCATAATTAATTGACTGATCTGGGACATTTTAGTTTATTTAAGAATTCAATAATGAATCGCATGAAATTAGAAATTGAATTTCATCACAAAAATCATTCATAAGTAAATATCAAATAAATGATGAATGTTATTTATGCTGAACAATGAAAAGAATATCCACACTTCAAATTTGAAACAAAAATATACACTGAAATCAATGCTATTGGAACAAATACATAAAAAATGGTAAGAATATTCATTACAAACTAAACTAAATAAATCAACGTGGTATAAAGTTACATAAACATCATCGACTGATCAAAGACAATGAACACGATATTATTACTCAACCGCACAGTATGTCTACAAATAATATGCATACGTACCACACACGTCACTTGATTTATGTGTGAGTAATGATACTGTCCGGGTGCCCAGACCGAAGCAGGTGGTTTCCATAGGGGACCATACCCGGAGCCTTCGACCTAAACGTCTAATCCACAAGGCAGTGGAGTAACGTAAGGAGATGCAGTCCCATGATACCGGTGACCAACGATTGGTTCATATGCCCTTTGTACCCTCGGTATCCTGGAGCCCATGTGCACCACTGGTTTGTAATCAGGGTTTTCCAACTCCCCTAGGTGGATCCTCCGTATCCACTAACCCAGTTAAAGCGTCAGACATCCGCCTTTCGTCCTCTCAATTTCGTAAACAACACCCCCGCCACGAGAAGGCAGTGAGTAGGACTTCCCTGGCAGAGGCTATATACGCGTGGTCATGTGAAAGCATTTAGAGAGAGCTAACCCTTCCACTCTTGGCCGTACCAGGGCATTCGGGGGCAATTATATGTGTTCTATTCTAATGAATAATGTGATAAAAACGTTTTTTGTGTAACCGATATATTACTTACTTTCACAATAATCTTAGCTGTTGCTGTCATATCTGAAGAGATTCTGTGGTTTGATGAAGATAAAACTGAAGGTGGATTATAAGCTAGAACTTCGAAAATATGTTCTGATTTTGTTTCATAATCAAGGGGTCGCTGAATCGATAGTCTACCAGTTGAATCATCTAAATGAAACCAGTAACCTGGTGGATATTGGTTCACATTCACCACGTCATTACTAGTAAGTAATGATGATGATGATGATGATGATATTGAAGTAATCCATTCAGAACCTTTAGGAAATTTATAAATTATAACGGCGTTCTCTCCATCATCTGCATCTGTAGCACTCAACTGTAATATGGTTTTATTTATAATTCCTTCACTGACATGAATTTCATAAACTGATTGATTAAAAACTGGTGCATGGTCATTTATGTCTAATACATGAATAAATAAATAAAGTGTACCAGTTTGCGATGGTTGACCACCATCAATAGCAAGAATCCGTAATTTATATTTGTCTTTCTCTTCACGATTCAGAGGTTTCAATAAAACAAGTTCAAGTTTTGAAATAACCGACTCTGTTCTGTCATTTGATACATGACCAATTGAATGTGAAGGATAATGTCCATCAGAACTAGTAACAATATTTTTTGTGTAATTCAGTTGGAACGTAGGTAAATCTGATTCACTCATATTTAAATGATCAAGATTTTCTAACTCATAACGTTGAACATTGAATGGTGAGGAGTCCAAATCTTCAGCCAATGGTAAAACTATACGACTTCCTACTGGAGATGCCTCAGATAAATTTGTAATAAGAGTAGGTTTTCCATCAGAAGATGCTGGAAAACTCTTGTGTTCTAATAACATTTTTAAGTGGTCTTTAGGATGCTAAAATCGGTTTTACGAAGAAAATGAAATAGGCACATGATTAGCACATAAACGAATAATAATATTAATAATAAATAGATCTCATTTGTAGTGATTTGCAACACAGATCACTTTTTTCAATGTCTTATACAAAAATGAGAATCTTAAATATATATTACAGAAAGTCATGATTGTTAGACAGCTAGAGCAGACCAGTTCTAATATTGACTCTAATCTGATTGAGTGATCCAAGCTCAGAACACTTGGACAAGCTAAACTATATAGAAGTTAGCAAAATGCACACTGACATGTGTTTGCCGGACGATTATTATTTACAATTTAATTTATATTTGTTGCCAATCAGAATCATTCCGATAACAGACATGTAGATAATTATTCTGGTTGCACAAATAATTCATTTACACAACGTATCTAACTCACTCTTATATATGATTTACCACACAACCTTGGTACATAATGTGATATGTCATATTCTATCTGCTTTACTCGGTATATCAATTCTCCGGAATGTTTGTCTTTACAATTAATAGGTTAATATGTTTCACAAAGTTGGTAAATCTTCAGAAATAGCCTTCTCAAAAGTTTTCAAAGATATGTAAAAAGTAAACGTTAATAATCATCAACTGTGTTAACAGCAAGTACTTGTAATCATGCACCAAACATTATACCTGTCTAAGAAGAACCAAGGCAATAATTAACGCGATCAATAAAATAAGTTACAAATATTCGCCAATGTATTTTATTTTCAACTATCTGATTAGTTAATAGTCAGATATAACCAAACGATCATATATATTCATAAATATTATAAGTTTTATATGTATGCATGGGAAACGACAAGTGAATAGGAAAAAAAAAGAACAGCAATCGAAGTGAACGTAAAAGCATCACGAATATAACTTTTGAAATATATCTTGGTATATATATAGAAAATTAATCAATACAAACTTAAAGTAGCCTTCATCTATCAAGTTCTATGCCAACTAAGATGTATCTACCTATATACATGTATAAACTTCTTATTGAAATTCATCTTCAAATATTTAGACAACTGAATAATTTTTAATTCCAAGTTAAAACCAGTTTGACATGTAAATAATAAGAAAAAAATTATCCCTGATAATCACTGATGCAAGTATGTATGTGCATGAAAAAGCTTCTTGCTTGCTTGTTTTTTTTCACTTTCGTAAAATTTTATTTATATATAATAGATAAACAAGAAAGAGTATGACCATTATGTATCCCCACTCACCACCACTCACCAACATAAATACTGTCAACGCTATAACATAAAATTGGGACAAATTCTTTATATAATACGAACACAACATGATAACAATTGGTATGACAACTACTAACAATACAGTATTGACTTTTTCGTATCTTCTTCTTCTCCTTTTCCCAGTTTCTTCGCGAGACAAGTCATTATACAAAAATAGATCAAATAATTTGATATATAACTAACTTTACAACGATTCATTTGACATGACACTAAAAATTGACTAAAATAACTGAAATGTGCTTATATGCGTTTAATATATCATTGTACTTGGCATCAGATTAGATTTTTTTTTTCAAACTCTAAACAAAAGAACAAATTATTCTTCATATATTTATGTATATGCTTGAAATAGTTTGTAACAAAACTTATGAATAAGCCCTTCTAGTTTGTCAATTTTTCCTTAGATAAATCAATCAATGATATAAATAGTTCATTTACACCTATTCGAGTATTCAAAAATACGCATACATAGCTGCCAGTAAGTGTTACTTAGATACTTTAAGTAATAGAACTAGTTAAAAGAGAGGATGTTTGTAAATGGCTTTTCATACGATCGAAAGGTTTTAGATAAATTATGTGTAGAAATTTGAAGATTTGTGCACAAACTGATATTCTATATTTGAACTAAATAATTATCCAGTGTTTTCTAGTCTTTAATGATTGTCTCTAACTAAGATTAGTCTGTAGTGTAAACTATGAAACACAGTAATCTTCATAAAACATATCAATTGGAGAATCATTAAAAAGACGAGGAATCTTTTAGGCAGTTATTATTATCTGAGTTTAGCACTCTCCACCCAGTAGTAGCGGATACTCGGTAGAATTTATATGGAATCCAACGACCCATCATTTAAATCTTAATCATTCTGTGGTGTATGCTACTTATGCCTGTCGACACAAGTAATATGCAACACCAACATAAGGTGGAAAACTTGACAGCAGCAGGTTGGGAAGATAGAATAGAAGATAATGGGAACAATTAAGAATTGGTATCGAAATGAAAGAACAATAAAGTCTGAGACAATTAATTGACGTTTTGCAAATGAAGGACTAAACGTATGGTTTTCATATTTCACTAAATAACTCCGTAGTTATGTTTTAAAATGCACTTGGTTGTCCCCACCTGTTTTCGTTCATTACAACTATACAATGTACCACAATCTTCAACAAATGTCATCAGTCAATTACTGTCTTATTATAGACTTTGATGATTTGAACGTTAACCGACCATCCAACAAAACCCTGAGAAATTCATCTAAAACTCAGTACATCAGGGATTTTATGGTCATTATTTAATATTAGATGTCTTCGTATAACAGTACATTTCGTTTAGACTTATACATGAGATTTTCTTCTATTTCAATATTCCGATGGAAAGACACTGTAGTTCTATAGTGAACGAAAACTCAGGTACCGTCAACCAATTTATTTTTATATGCAAAATCAAACAGTGCCTTTGTAAAATCTGAAAATCATACACTAAATACATCATTTGGATATCCTCGTTGAGTTATCGTTTACATACTTCATCATTTTTCCGATGATGTTGTTATTCCGACTGTTCTTCTTTCTCCTTCTTTTTCTATTTATTTCAACTTTCTGCTGATAACCATTTCAATTCCAGTTCCCGCTAAATACTACTTATGTCTGTTCGCATACATAGCGCGCACCATAGTACCAGTAGAACACTTATTTTCAGAAAATTCTGCAGCGCCTTTGCTATAACGAGGTAAATATTGTGAAAGTTGTAACAACTGGAACTGTCTTACGAAGAATTACTGCTAAACTCTTCGATTATTGTATCGTGTTGTTTACGACCAATGCTGAACAATTTACTTGCCGTTGGATTAAAATCCAAACATCTTAAAATCCTCATTGCTAACCTAGGTTATAAAATTGTCTCAAAACACCATGTTTCGTGCAGAATGATTTATATGATATTGTGTAACATCATAAACAATATTTACTAAAACCTTGACACAATTATTGAACACTGCACTCTAATTATTACTTCTCAAGTGAAGCAAAATGGAAAAGAACTTTGATAGTAACAAATTATTGAGAAGAACTAGTGTTTGTATGATATACACAACAACAAGTTAATTTTACCAGTCAAGTTAAATTTATACGCACTCTAAACAAAATAAGACTGAACTTATTAAAATAAACATCTACCCAAATAAGTTCGACATTTGTAATCTTATTCAGAAGTGTATAAAATTAATAGAAATTTTTTATTATCATACAAATAATTAACAAGAAATAATCCATATATATGTACAGAAAAGAACAAACTTCACTTACTTTAAACTGTGGTACATGATCATTTTCGTCACATATAATAATTGTTATTTGATGTGTATCCGGTACCTCGGATGGTGATGTCATAACTGACACAGTTAAATTAAATGTACACATTGGATTATATAGAGATTTAGTATCATCTATTTTGGCAGAACATAAATTAGGATAATAAGTTGATTGTGTCTGTAAACCATGTATATTGTTCCTAGATGTTGTATGTGAAAGATAATTATACTGATAATTCATAAAGTTGGTATGTTCAAAAGATCCAATATTAGAAGAAATGGTTGATGTTGTAGTTATTGTTGTTGTAGATCCTTCGAGTGGACAACATAATCTAGACTGTAGACATAATTTATCACGATCTATAAAACGTGATGTAATCAATTGATGATTTTCATTAATATCAAAATATTCACGTCCTTTAGATGATTGCAATAATGATAATTTATAACCTGACTGAATATAATTTAATAGGAAATCTTTAGATACAATTTCATTTTCACGTGTATTATCTCTTAATACAATAGGATTAAATGTAATAGTGTAATTGATGAAAGATATTACATGTAGGAAATAGATTGTATAAGATAATTTTATGATAAAATTATGAAAAAGTTTGGCTAACAGTGAAAACATGATTTTTTTTACAATCTGATTGATTGATGTATCCAAGGGAAGGATTAGAACTGATCACACTGAATCTAAATGATTATAAAAGATGCGTTTTTTTGGAGGAAGGAGAAAAAATGAGGAAGAAATAGTTATTATCATCATTTAGTTCAAATCTATTTAGAAATCTTGGGCAACATACGATTTCTTAAACATTATCAATAAGTAAATAGTCACTACATTCGGTTACCAATTCTTCTTTCTGCAAACTCTGTAAACGTTATAGGTGATTAAGGTAAATGTGACACTAATCCTGGAAGTTATTGGGGTTTTTTCTAATTAAAATTGTGAAACGAACAGAAAACTTTCTATTAACATCCACTGGTCTAAACACTGAAACCAATTCCGTAGATCAACTTAACAACTAACAATTAGTTGATCTCCCGATATTTAATGCCATGTTATTTGATGAAAACCATGTTTGACAGTAAAAAAATTAGAATTTCATTTCTTTTGAGCACTTTTTTGAAAGATGTTGATACTATCCATTTCCCTTAACAGTTAATTTTATAATAATTTCAAAAGGAAATCACGTTAATCAAACTTATTAGCAGTGATCATTCATATTCGATAGGGATTCAAGGTTCAAACTGTTGGGGTGATCCAGAAAACTCGCAAAAAACAAGAAAGGCTCAGGAAACAGGTAGCATTTTATCCAGTCAGCATTCACTAGAAGTTTTGCCAGAAATATCACGAAAGTGAAAAGTCACACGTAGAGTTTCTGGTAGGCTGATTACTATACTGCTACTATGTTTAGTAGCATTCCAGAATTTTCGGGAAAACCAAAGGATTTCTAAAATACTATAAAAACCATATATTTTCTGTACATAAATGAACCTTTGGAGTAAAGTGCTTCTCGCATATTTAGTGCCTTTTCTCTCATGTTCAAGTTGCTGTGTAGATTTACCTTGGGGGTTATGAGAATAGCTTAGGAACCGAGTATAGCGTTCAATTAGCAAGACTTATCAAAAACTAATAATTAAAATATTGTATTCCATATCTGTTTGAACCACTGACCAAAGTTAAACAAGATTAGATGTGACCCAGATAAATTGAAAGTCACCAATGAGCAATATCATTAATGATATACATGAAAATGGTGTATGTCAGTTATAAAAACTATTATCATTTAACTTAATAATTGATGAGGAAAATGAACGAAACAAGTTTATTTAGCAGTGAATAATTTTTAAAACTTATTTCTCTAATCATTCCATACTGTTGTTAAGTCATACATTCAAAGTTATATTTTGTTTTTATAAAAACAGTGGATAACGCGATGGCGTTTGAAGCAAACGGTACTGAGTTCGAGTCCAAATTAGGAATAAACACGCGTCCTGGATTCTACGACTATCCATCTTCCTTCTCTGCTTATAAAGCTTCGGTTTCTTATTAAAAAAACAAGCCAAAACAGATTTTATTTTATCTAATCAACTATAAACCCAACTGAATTAAACAGAATTTTAATTGTCTCGTTTTTTTTCAATTGTTGTTACTGATATCGTCGTCAGTTTTGATCACCTCATCGTCACCATCGTCACTATTGTTCTCTCTTCTCTGTCGAGCTTTAATGTCTACATAATTGGTGTACTTTCGAATTTCTCGATATTGACAATAGAGTGTAAATACATCTCAACACATACACATTATTTATTCATTTAATATATGGCACATAACACTACATAACATTGAGGTGAATTATCCCTCATTCATCGTCAACTTATTGAAAGAGAAAAGATATCTGGATTTGTTGTTAACTTTTTTCCATATATTTGTGCCTGGTTGATATGAGAGATGATGAACAAGAGAAAAAAATAGTTTCGAAGTCAAGTAAACTGACAGTTGTCAGAAGAAAAAGAGACGTTATAATAGAGTAGATCGAGGAAAACCAATTACAGCGTGATTCAAAACTCACTACTTCCAATACAAATTGATCATTGAATAGTGGACTACATTATTATGATGTCTAAATTGATAATCTTTCAACGTAAAAGAATCTTGAATGATCAATCAAATAGATATTAGATAGGAAATCTTTGATTCGTTTAGATATAAATAACCGAATAAAACAACACCAAATGCTATCTACTAACTTTTATTCAGTGAGTTGTCTAGCTCTAAACAAACATTTCTTGTTTGAATAACAATCTAATACATGTTGACGAATTCACTTCAATGGAATAAATTTCTCAATTTTTCTGAGATAATTTTATTGTGAGTAAAGAAAACTACTCAATTCCAATAGTCGATATTACGGATAGGTTGTTCAGTGTGAATAAAGTTTAAAAAATAATAAAAACTTTGATCTACTGGTTCAATGTTAAGTAGTTTTGAAAATTACTACGTTAACTTTGAAAATGTCAACAGTTTCAATTTTCGAAGAAATACGTAACAAAAATGAACTTGATTCCTAGAGCTATCTGATTTTTAAAGTCTATTTTGATGAAAATGATATGTTTGGTGAAAATGTGCATATAACAAACACGGCATTTGCAAACAATTTACAACTCTTAAAACAGACAATCTGTACATGTGTCAAAAATTAGAAACTATCATTCTTTTATACAAGGCGATAAAGAAGATCTTATAATAAATCTGGTGTTTGAAGTCACTACACCTTAATACAAGAAGTAATAACAAAAACAACAGGAGAATATCAAAATTCAGAGGGTGGCAACCAGTAAAAGGGAAGACAAATATTGAGTAAACACTTGTTCATGATTAGGAATAAAATGGAGATAGGAAAAACCTATGATATTGCAACCAGTTGTGAGCTATATTTTACAACAAGCATTGAAAATATGAAAGTTTACATTCAAGTTAATTTGCTTCACTTCCTCTATCTAATTTTTTAAATTTACTATAAACATTCTAAAATGAATGATCGCTTTATACGCCTAAAAAGACTAAAACATCAGTCTATTTCTTGACCTCTCGTTTCATTTACTTTAACAGTCATGGCTCAGAAATGTGTTAACATTTAGCCGACTGCTAAGACACTATATTTAACCAGCAGCATAACTGTAACATAGCTTGACTGAGCACTTTGTTTCTCTTGCATTCATCTGTAGTCAGTTACATAGTGAAAATGAAGTCGGGATCAGTGAAGTTCAACCGTGTCAGGTGTAAAACAGTTACATGCCGAAGACAATGGAAAATAATAAAGCAATATCGTGGATTGGTTAGATTTAGACATTAGCACCATTGGGTGCCGGCTCAATGTTCAAGAGATTAGGCGTCCTCACTCAAGACCGAAGATCCTGGTTTCGAGTCTCGCGTGCGAGATTGTGGATGCGCACTGCTGAAGAGTCCCGTACTAGGACGAAATGGTTGTTCACGGCTTCCAGGCTTCCAATGGCGGTCTAACATTTATGCGCTGACCAGCTCGACATAAAATAATACTTTAAACGTAGTTCAATAAATTTCGTTATTTATAACACTTTCAAGCAGTGTAAAATGTACAAATGTACATTTCTAAATTACTCAAACGGTAGTTAACAATGTCACAGGCGAGTGCGTCTGCATAAACACAAATAGGAAATAAAATTAATAAACCTTGGTAAAATTAAACCTAGAAACTACACCATCTCGGTTTTACAATTGTAAACTGTCAAAAATTAAATTTCTACATAAATTATACGTAAACTTATTTGACCTGAAAAACAATAAAAGTCGAATTTGTCAAAGTCATACTCCAAGTTGTACATATGCATCGATGTGTATATGTTCAACTGTTGTCGACATTATCAACATAGAAAAGACATATGCACATACTTGTCGCTCGTTACAATCAAAATATACAAACACAAAGAAACTTCCTGTAATATGAAAAAAAAAACATTCAGATAGATATTTCATTCAGCCTTATCAATTACATTAATCTATACCATGTCAATATGAAAGTAAATATCTGCGAAAATTTTGTTGTAGACATTGTCTACCTTAATGTTAAATGATACAAAGGAAATGATGACGAAAATTGAGAACTGGAGGAAACTTTTAGGTCATAAACATGTTCCAAAAAATATTTATTTCTAATCTCAGTGTAATTGTTCTCAATAGTCCCTTCCCTTTCTAGAATATTTTCAAATAAACACATAAAAATCAATGAACAAAGTTTCTTTTGTAACTTGTAGTATACAGTGGATGGAGGTGAAAATACTAAGTTTTGAGAAATGAATGAGTAAGAAATCAGCCTACTTACTTCAACTATTTCACTCATAGACTACACTGTGGTTTGGCCTTAGTTAAATGTCCATTGAAAAGTAGAAAGTTGTGGAAAGCTGTTTCACTGAATGCTTCCTAGTTTTCAATGGTTAACTCAATAGAGGTTGGTGATGTACTCCATAA